AGTTTTTGAATTGTTTTAACAAATCAAACTTGTCCTAATTAGCTTCTTGTTCCAGTCTGGAATTATTTATAATATTAGGCTTTGTCTGTAGGTTGGATTGGACTGGATTCTTTCCAAACATCAACCTACTGGGATCATTGACTCAGAGGTTGCAAAGAAATCTACAGTTTCGTTACTAAATTGTATATATGAATGTACATGAAGTCAGAACTGTTTACAAACTCTTTCACATGAAATACTGTTCATGCTGTTGGTTATATAGAGTGGTGTGCTGTGTGGCCTTGGTTTCCTTCAGCCGAGCAGTCATTACAAAGAAGAGGACGTGCTACTGTCTTCATTGTCTCTGTCTTGGTTCAGGCCTCATCACTGCATTTGAAGCTGGTGAGCTCAAAACTGAGGGTGACCTCCTGTGGTCTTCAGGCACTGTTGACTTCACAGCTTCTGGAAGGGATGATGATTATTGAGAGCTGCACAGCACTTAGGCGTTGTCTGCAGGGACCTGACATTACACTGTGCACGATGGTAGTCTTCACTTAAAAGATTGCTTTTCCTGAGAAAAATTAGTTTTAGATTTTAATTTATATTACAAATTTAAAACTGCAGACACCTTTGTCTGAAGGAAAATCTTACTAAAAGTCAGCACCTACCTACACCCTCTCCAAATTGTATCATTTTTAGTCTTATATTTTTAAAATCTCTTATGATTCAATAACTGGTCAAAAGCTCTTTTATATGTCATGTTTAAAGTACATCTCTGTTTTTATTCTTATCCAGTTCTATATAAGGGAACAGTTTTATGCTTAAGGTTTCCAGTTATAGAGTTGATCATATATTATGAATTTAGAGTGATTTTAAAATCTGCCCTACTACAGGTCTTTGATAAGGAGGACTTCCTAAAGGTTTTTCATTTAGATTAAATTGAAGTTCCAGATTTAAAGGTGAAACCGTTAAGGTGGTTTCGTCATCTAATATATAGACTATATAGTCACACAAATATTACACATAGCTTATATGTTAAAATTCTAAATTGTATTGGTATCCGTAAGTATTTTTGCTTTTTGTAATGCTGGGAAAAAATAGGTACTTTATAAATATTTTACCGATTAAGGAAATAAAAGTACTGGAAAGTTAGAAGTAAGTACTATATCTAAAGGTGGTTGTATAAAAATTCATAAGCCTACGATTTTAAGAAATTATAAATTAGTAGAGATATGAAGGAATGGTTTTAGTCAGAAACATGAGACATTGGGGATTATTTATTTTAATTTGGTATGTTTTTATTTATTTATTTATTTTTTGTGAGGAAGATCAGCCCTGAGCTAACATCCATGCTAATCCTCCTCTTTTTGCTGAGGAAGACCGGCTCTGAGCTAACATCTATTGCCAATCCTCCTCGTTTTTTTTTTTCGCCCCCAAAGCCCCAGTAGATAGTTGTATTGTCATAGTTGCACATCCTTCTAGTTGCTGTATGTGGGACGCGGCCTCAGCATGGCCGGACAAGCGGTGTGTCGGTGTGTGCCCGGGATCAGAACCCAGGCCGCCAGTAGTGGAGCGCGCACTTAACCGCTAAGCCACGGGGCCACCCCGCTATGTTTTTAAATTGTTATCTTTCACTGAATGCTTTAGTTCTAACTGATAACTGAATTTGCAAAATAATAAGTTGTTTGAAACTAATTGAAAAGTGTAAAACATCAAGTACCTAGTATTTCTATTTCCATGCACAGTTGTTGCTCCATAAATTCTTATCCTTGGCTTAATTAAGAAACCTTATTATTGGGGGTTATTTAAATATTAAAATATATTCAAAAGTTCCATAAATTAAATGAGTTATAAACAATTCCAATCCATTATTTCTCTTACTGCTGTTATACAGAGGCTTCCAAAAAATTTTTTGTTATATAAACTGGAAATTATATAGACTACTTATACTTAATTACAATAGGATTATTTCACCCATTATCTTAGACTAAAGTTAGGACTTAGACTAAAGTTATCTCTTTCTGTTTTTCCTAGATGTACTTGATCCAAATCTTATTATACCCAAAGAGTGTTTTTACCAATTGTTTATTATATAGTACTAAGTGGTTTCTTTCAGAGAAATGAGGGTTTACAAAAGAAAGATAGAATCTCATGTTCTTGATATTTTAAAGAAAAAAAGTCTTGAATGCTATCTTTAAGCACATTTCTTTAAACTTTGGAATAACTTTTGATCATCTCTAGTCTCACTGTTTATTGATATTCATTTGCATTACCTTAAGATATACTTACGTGAATGAAATTTTATTTTCATAGTCTTTAATGGTAATTAAAATTAAATTGCTTATAAACGGGTGTACAAGCTTTTTAACATTTAACATAACATTAAAAGACAGAAGCAATTTAAATTGGATTTGTTTCAGAATACTATTTTAGAAATCAGTTGACAGTATTAGCAACATCACTATTTTATGAATGTAAGCTAATGTGGTATGAAAGAAAGATCCTCATTAAAATCTTGTTGCTAAACAAGTGACAAAAACCTTACAAACAGCTTGAGGCTTAGGCCAGTCACAGTTATTCCTGAAGAGATTTGGACAAGTGTGAAAATATATAGACTGTGCCTTTATTGTGATCAGAACACATAAATGCCCTCTTGCATCAATTCCTTCCTAAGGACATTTTTGTTCATATTAGGGAAAACAAATCTTAAAATAATGCAATGCCTAAGTATTCTGTTGTGAATTTCTCAAGTGTGAAAGTATTGGGTTTGTTAAATTCATAAAGTAGACTTTTGATAATAGCCGTGGTTTTTGTGTTTTCCAGAAAAGGACTGGGGTTTGGTCAACTAGCATATTTTCATTAGGCAAAATTCATGATGCTAATGATCCTTCTTCTAGACATTATCTGAATGAACTGGTCTGGTGCAGGTCTGTGAGGTTGTAGTAAGGGTAATGTGGTGCAGAGGAATCAGCCTGGGGTTCATCACCAGTATCGAACTTGGCAATTCCCTTAAAGAAGCCCTTAGCTGGATTTAGTCACTTCTGGATTAACTTCATGTACATATTCCCTTTGAGGATTGCCCATGTCTTGATTTTTATTTGGGATTTTAATCCTTGCTTCTAGAAAGGTAATCTTAATATCATGCTGTAAATAGAAAAATTAGCATATAGGAATGCTGATGACATTCCAGAGTGAAAAAGTTAATGATAGCCATGTGGCCACTTCAGGCTATCCACTGATAATGAGCTGATTGTTTAAGTCTGCTTTGCCTTTTTGAGTTGTAGGGGTCCTTAGTCAAAAGGCACAAAGGAAATTCCCTCAGTTTGATTTGGACCGTGTGCCCAGCACATCTGCACAGAGAGGAACAAGAACATTTGTAGTTGGAATAAGAAAGATACCTGTTTAGGTTCAGGAATCAGAGAGCACATGGTGAGACTGCTGAGACTAGTTAACAGGCAGCTAAAGAAAGCAAATCCTATGTGTCTTTGAAGTGGACTATTACATGTCACCCATAATTTAATGTGACCACAACCACATTAAATTATTTGAATTAAAGTCATTTCCTGCAGCTGTTGTCCTTGATCCTTCAAAGTATGCTATGATGCTGCCGTAGATATAATATCTATGCTGTAGGGCTCTTGTCTCAGCAAAGTCCCTCTAATGAGTTTTTTTTGCATTTAACAAATCTCAGTCATTCCCAGTTTGCTTGTGGTTTAAAAATCTTTTTGTTACATATTATATGTATGTCTTTATGGAGACTCCTAAAATTACCTGCTTGCTTTAAGATGATTATAAATTATATTCCTTAGTAATTGGAAGGGTAACACATAGCTCAAGAGGGAAATCTTGATAATTTTGTTTTAAAGGAGTTATAGATGATATTCAGGGAACATTTATTATTTTTTTGCCTACAGCTTCTTTGTGAGGATGATATCATATTATAAGATCTGACATGGAAATGGTTGGTTACTTAACAGCAGATTGGATGTGGGAGAGGCTGGAACTAGAGCAGCTGGTGGTCGGGAGGAAGGACCAGAGTAGTTCAGGAGAGTAGCTACAAAAGATGGGGAGCAAAGCACACTGTCCTCTGGAAGGAGAAGGTAGGACCGAGTCTGGGACCCAAAGCTAACACAAGACAGATTAGCAAGTGGTCCCGCCATGGGTGGCTTATGGCACCAGGCTTTTCTGAGTTGGTGGTCCTCAGATCTCAGACCCTGAGAAGGCAGGATACCAAGGGGGCCAGTACAATTTAAAAGGCAAACTGCCAGAATGGAAATTTGACGGAAAGCCATTTGAATTTTCTGGGGCATCCAAGAGTTGACTTGGGAATGGAATGGGAGCCCATCCAGTTATCAGAAGTTAAGGCACCATGGCAGGGTTGTCTTAAAGAAAGGGAATGTCTTGATGCCATCAGCAGAAGACTTGCAGAGACTGGACACCAGATGCCAATGTCTGGAAACAACTCCCCTTTTACTCTTCTTACTCATTTCTTCTAGAATATACTCTTTTTCTCTATTAGAAATCCTACTTTTTCTCTACATCTCATCTGTCTCCATGAAGCTTCCTCACTCTTTATCTCAGAGGTCCTCTCTCCCTCCTTTCAAATTTTATTTATTTATTTTTCCCCCCCAAAGTCCCAGTAGATAGTTGTATGTCATAGCTGCACATCCTTCTAGTTGCTGTATGTGGGACACGGCCTCAGCATGGCCGGAGAAGCGGTGCGTCGGTGTGCGCCCGGGATCCGAACCCAGGCTGCCAGCAGCGGAGCACGCGCACTTAACTGCTAAGCCACAGGGCCAGCCTCTCTCCCTCCTTTCAAATCTCTTTCTTTATTTGTACAGAGTAAACCACCCTGAGCTCACTCTGCCTTTTATTCATGTTCACGTCTTTTGTGGAGCATGTACTGTGTGCAAAGCACAATTTAGGTCATAGGTATTAAATTAATGAATATTTTAGAGCTGTTAAAAATTATATTGATGTAATTACAAGTCATTTTTTTCCTTCCAAATTTTTTATTTCAGATTTTACCAAATGTTGCAAGGACTCGGGAGTCCTTATGGTAGTAAAATGCCGGAAAGAAAATTCTGCATTGAAAGAATGTCTAACTGCTCAGTAAGTAGTTACCCCAGTGTTGATGCTTCTGTATATGTGTGTAACATATGTAGGAGGTATGAGTATGTTATTTAACTCAATACATACAATATATTCTGTACTTCCCCCTACCAAATCGTCATATTGTTGAGTCTAAAATTTCAGTTTGTTAAACATTATTCTAAAAAAAGCAGCATAACATATTTATGAAGGGTCTTTTCAGGTTTTGTGTGTCAGCATTGTATCTGATTAAAATTATGAGGTCAGCAAACAAAAATATATAATTTTTCACGTGATTTACCAAATTCCTTTTCATGAACAGTTTGATCTATAGAATATATTAGATGAGTTTATTTCTCTCTTCTAATGAAAAGATACTGAATTAGACTATCTCTAAGACCTTTGTCAGCCTTATGATTTTTTGGAGTAATAGAATTTAACTCTTAGGAAAGTTGCAATAAATCAAATGAAGGATACAAAGGCAAATTTAGATTTTTGAAGTAAATCAAATTAATTTTTAAAATAATGCTTAACTATGTTCCCTGATCTTTTGTAGTTCCTTGAATCTTAAAGTAAAAAGATGCAAAGTTCTTGGAATGCAGGTGCTTTTTGTTCTGTCTCCCCACGTTTTATTACCCACGTTATTGACAGACCGTAGTGTGCAATACTTGAGTAAGGATAGTTGATTGATAGTTGTGAGATCGTAGTTTTGGTAAGCCCTTATTTCCTTTCATACTCTGCTTCCCTAGCCTGTGAAGCATATATTTCAGTATGGCTTGATACTTCTTAGGGAATTAGATAAAAAGAAAGTAGTGATTATCTGAATCTTATATTTGTTTTCTTTTTTGATAACAAATAATGTACATATAAATTTATGGATTCTTTTTGAATGCTGTACTTGGAAGACTTTAGAGATTATTTAAACTAATATCTGCATTTATAGATGAAGAAGCACACTCTAAGTTCACGTGTTTTTTCTCAAGTTAATAGTAAATAAAAATAATTGTAATAGCAGCTCTTATTTATGGTCCAGGACCTGCACTAAGTGTTTACTATAGAGGAGTAAGAGTTCCTTCTGTGACTTATTATTCTTCCACTTCTGTTCCCTAGCGCTCCCAAGAGATGTTTAATGAATAGATGAATCTCTTAAACTTCTGTGTGACTGAATTGGTTAAATACTCTTTTTGTTTTTTGTGAGGAAGATTCGCCCTGAGCTGTCATCTGTGCCAGTCCTCCTCTGTTTTGTATGTGGCATGCCTCCACAGCACGGCTGATCAGTGGAGTAGGTCCGCGCTTGAATCTGAACCTGCCACCTCTGGCTGCTGAAGTGAAGCGCGCAGAACTTGAACCACTCGGCCACGGGGCCAGCCCCCTAAATTCTCTTTTATATATTGACTAAAGAATTTTTATACCTCACTTTCAATCATCATAATTTGTTATTCTTAGTTTGACAAATTATCCCTGCCTCTAGACAGGGCAGCACTAGAGCAGAGTGGACAGGAGCGTGCACTGTGGAGAGGGCAGCCTGGGCTTAACTTCTGGGTCAGCCAGAGCTTAGCTAGCTGTGCAACCTCCGGCAGGTTCCTCACTGTAAGATGGGATAATTATTCCCCACGGAGTAGGTGTGAGGTCTACTATATGTAAACACATTACCACAGTGCCTGGCACACAGTAGGTAATAAATGTTAGCTCTTTTTTTATTGTATTTATTAGCTTTTGTTATCTGAATATTAATCATTTGAATATTCTTCCATCTCTCACCCCCTAGAAATAAGGGAGGAAAATAGGTTCTAGTCCATTCTGGAGGAGGGCCTAGGAGGCGTGAGAGGAGGCTTTCTGTTTGTTTAGAGGAGAGAGAAACAGTGAAGGAAACAAAGAGGGATGTGACATTTGCTGAAAGTAAATGGAGAGTTACTAAGGAAGAATTTTACTCGACTTTGTCTCAGCATAACTCTAAAAAATAGTATTTTTCACCTTTGAATAAGCAAATGCTCTGTTATTTGCTATTGACATTCCATGAAATGAATGTAACCACTACCTGCTCTCATCTCTTCATAGTGACATCTTGAAATGTTAATGGTTTCTGCTCCTTTATTTCTCTGTCTCATCTCCATTCATTCCTCAGTCAACTGCAGTCTGATTTCTGCCCTCACTCCACTGAAAGTGCTCTTCCTAGAGGTTCTAGTGGGTTCATAGTAGCCAAATCCAATGAATACCTTTTCAGTCTTTTCTCTGTTACGTGACCTCTCTCTGGAAATTGCTTAAAATTCCCTTCTATCTGGCTTCCTATTTAAAGCTTTGTCATTTCCCCAACTTCTCTACCTACTTCTTCTCAGCCTTTTCTTCCTTAGGCTGTTCCTTAAAGTGGGTTCCCTGGTTCTCTTCTCAAGTCTAAGAAAGGTCAGTTTGGACCCATGGATTCAGTTCATTCCTATAGGTCATGATATTTCTCTACTGCTTTTTTCAAGTCCAAAACTGAACTCAGCTCCTTTTACTCCTCCTGCATCCTGTGTCTTTGTGAATTATACAGATGTCTAGAATCTAGAATCTTCCTGTCTCCTAACTCTAATTGGTTATTTCCCATTGACTTCCTTAAATCTCTCCCAGATCCATTTCATCCTTTGCATCAACTCCTTTGGCCTAGGCCCGCATCATTTCTTGTCTGGATTACTGTAATAGTTTATTTATTGGACATCCTGCCTCTAACCTTGCTGCCCCCTTTTAGCCTGTCTGCCACATGCTGTCAGATTCATCTAAGACTCATAGCTGATCTTACAGTTGCTGTTAATAGTGCCCCATTGCCTTCAGGGTAGATTTTAACTTCTTAGTATGGCTTAAGTGGACCATGATTTGGCCTTTGCCCATTCCAGCCTCATCTCAGGCCTTTCTCCTGTGTGCATAATCTGCTTTAGTGGTACTAATTTACTTGCAGTTCTTCACGCTCTCTGGTGCCTTTCCACGTGTGCCTTCTATATGGGTTTCTGTTGGTCCTTCAAAATGCAACCTATGCATTTCCCCTTGACGTCTCCCCTCTCCCCCACTTCTTCCCCGTGTTTCCATGGTGCACTGGGCTATACTTCTATTATAGCGCTTTGTATACTTAATTGTAAGGTAGTCTTTACCTGTCTGCTCTGTAACACCATGGGTTCCTTGAGGTGAAGTGCTGTGCTTCTCATTGCTTTATTCTGGGACAGTGCTATTCAAAAAAGAACATTAGTTTTTTTTTTTTCTTTTCTTTAACTAGTTTGGTAGCCTAATGTTTACAATGAATTTATGACCATTACTAAAAATCTATTTCTAAAGATTGTACATGATGACCTGAATGTCTGAATATTATTAAAGTAAGCTTACATTAAATACTTGCAAAGTGATTCATTTTAAAATGAGATTTTCGTTTCCTTCTTGTAGCTATAATGATCCAACCTTTTATGAAGAATGCAAAATGGAATACCTGAAGGAAAGGGAAGAATTTAGAAAAACTGGAATTCCTACCAAGAAAAGGCTACAGAAGCTTCCCACAAGCATGTAGACAAATATTCAGGTGATACTCAAGAACCCTAATATTCATGGAAATCACAATCACCTGAAATAAGACTCCAGGAAGTGTGTTTGCATTATCCTAAATTATGGAAATATTAATTTTATGTGAAATAAAGATTTTTAAAAAAATTTCAAGTTGTTCATTAAATGGGATAGGAATAGTGAAATGGGATATGGTTTGCCTGATCATCATGGATTTTTCTTTTTTCCACAACGATAGTTCTATAACAGTAATACTGATTTTTAGGGTTCCATACGGATCTTACATTACTCTCTTCCAGTGTATAGACTAATGGCTAATAATGGGGGCCACAAGTAACCAAAGGAAAGCAGGAATGGACAGCCTTCAGTGTGTTAATAACTAGGCAGTAAAGCAGAATGGTTATGAACCAGAATCCTTCCTGGTTCTACCACTTATTAGCTATGCAACCCTGGAAATAAGTCTCATACAATTATTGTGAGGATTAACTGAGTATTGCAGGTAAGCAGAATGTGTAGCACAGTGCCTCAGACATGGCAAATACTCTTTAATGGTTATTGTTATTAGTAGTAGTAAAGACTTATTTGGAAACAGATGAGGAGATACATGAATTAATTTTATTTACATCTTTGATAGAAAATTTGCTAAAAGGTATTATGTTCTTGGACCTGTTAATTTGGCTACTGAAAATATTTTAATCTTTTATTGAGATGTCGTCTTTATAAGTGAATGACCATTTTGTAACATAGTAATGGTTTCAGAAGCTAGTGTAAAAAATTTCTATCCCAATGCAATAATTTGGTCCCAGGGTGAGCTTTTATATTAAAAGGTGCTCTTTTTTTTCCCATGAGCTGTTAAATCTTCACCATGGCCATTGTGACCAGTTTCCAGGTAAGTAAATTTTGTGTATATTTACAGTTTTCATTAAAGTCACAGTTAGAAATTAGTGCCTACTAGGACAAGATTTAACTTTGGCCCCAATCCCATGAAATAGATCTGAAAGATTTTTTTTTTAAAGGACTTGGTTAAAGCAAATAGCAAACAGGACCATAAAGAAAGAACCAATGGGATCTTCAAGTTCCACACTTTACTACGTAGGGATGTCCCTTTTCTACTTATGAATTAGGTTCCATTTTGGCACAACCTCAGTTTCCTTTTAGAGAAGATGTAAATTGTATTTTAGCTAACAGAAGATCAAGAGGAAGGAATAGATGGCTTTTTTGTTGTTAGCTCTGTTCTCTTCATTTTGTTGAGTTACAGATGTTCTCAACTAGGTTATAAAAATCTGAAGATTAAATTTTCAAGGGAAGCCCTTCAGAGCATGTTTCAGCTAGTATGAAAGAAGTGAACATAAAATCTTCCATTTTAAATAGATTATAGCTACAGATGGGCCGTTCTCTCGTTTCTCTTTGAATCTTATGTAGAACAGAGATGATCATAAAGTGTACATTTAAAAATTTATGGCTGGGTAAAGTTTTTTGGCTAATCTTTCCTAAATAGTCTTACACATCATTTATTTAGCACTCTGAACTGTCAAGAACATCAACCACTGACTTTCTAACATACCTGTTTGATAGCTACCCTGTTGTTGGAGGGAAAAGCATTTTATCCACTCAAAATAAGTTGGTTTAACAAATGTCTGTTATAGGAATCAAATTAACAACTAACAATTAGTACCTGACCTTGAAATATATAGACAAGGACAATATTTCACATCCACTTCAATTTCAAACAAAAATAATTTATTTTAATTAAACGATTTCTTGGCATTGTTCAAAACATTAATCAAGCCATTATCTCATACATTTTCTTTACAAAGGAAAATTTCCAATCTTGGTTTTAAAAAAGGCAAACCAGTAAGCTACATTAGAGATTAGATATAATATACAGCCTATGCAGCCACATGAGAAATAGTTTCTGCTGCTTTGTTATTACACAGGTAGTTGCTTCCCTCAGCTAAAGCCCAGAGTCTTGTATTTGTTTTATGCATATTGGGTTTTGTTCTATTACTTGGCAGGAGATTGTACTCCCTTGAGTCAGCTGTGTTCATTGGTCAGAATAAATTCCAGCATCTGACACCAATTCCATTAATCACAGACAAGCTTGAATAAGTGAGTAAGATAATAGAAAGACAAAAATATCTTGTGAACGGTGAACATTGTTTATGTATGTATGCTATTCAGTTAATATAGAAGAGGTCTGAGATACTCTTGAGTTCAAGATATTTGAAGCTATCAAAAAGGATAAAGGCCTCCTACATGAAACACTTTATCTCAGGCAAAAGATGTATGAACCAAGTAATATATTATATTACTAATATTAATACTGCCACCTTGAAAGAATTTAAATAAATTTCCATGAGAAGCGATCCTTGTTATTTCCTTGTTTATAAATGATAGGCCACTTAGAATCAGAGAGTTTGGGGACATTTCATGATTGTACTATATCAATACAGCACAGAATTTGGTTTCTAGAATTAAAATTCCTAATTCAATTAATTAAAAATCACTTTCTGAATGAGTAAAATGTTATATTTCAAAACCAAGTCTAACAATTTATAAGCTTCTCTACATAACAAGTGGGTGTAGACCCTTTGAAGAAAATGACTATAACTTATATAGTTAAATATGCATTTAGATTTTCATTATGGACCACTGAAGGGACAGATTAAGACTGAAACCTTTCTACTTCTAATTGGATGATGTATAGGACTGTAAGTTTATTCACATACCACATAGTTTTTCAACTATTTCATCACTTCTTTCAATTAGGACTTGAGGGATGTACTGGGATAAGGTTGGCTTCAATGATAGGTTATTTCAAGTCTTAAAATTCAAGTTGCAATTTTAAATTTTAATATGGTGATTTAAAAATGATTTTAAATCTTAAACTTGGAAACACAATAACATATAGAGATGGAATAACCTAGATATTATTATTCCACTGTAATAAGTTTTCATATCTTTATGCATTAGAAGGTCAACAGAAACAGAACCTATTCACATTGCCATTTGCTCCTTTATGCAACTTAAAGAAACTTAGATGATTTTTCTGATATTAATGGCCTCCTTCATTTTTATGAATGGGTATTTAGGCATTTCATATACTTTGTTAAAACCATGTCTAAAAACTTGCCCTTTCTTATGTGAGAGGCAGAAATTTACAATTAATATTTATTAAAGGTAGAATTGTCTTTTTGAAACACCTTAAGTTTATTTATTAATTAGTAGTATCTATCTGATTCTTAGCCAGAATATGGAGCTGGAGGGTGCTCTTTCATACTACAAAATCAACTACATAATACAGTACCGTATGTGCAAACGTATATACTGAAGAACTCTGCAAGTTTAATCAAGATTCGCTTTCAGTTTGTTAAATAATTTCTCAAGAGAACCACTGAGGGAGATAGATACAGCATGAATCTCTTCAGAATTAATTCTTATAAAGGCAGTTTTGATTACGTTGATCCAAGTAATGCAGTGGTGGCAGATTGGATAAAGGCAAAGTTTTATTTTTAGTTTCCCCAAATGCTGTCTCACTTGATTTAGGAGGGCTTGGGAATACCCAAGAATTATCTTCCAGAGAATTTCTGCCATAAGAGTTGTGTTCCTGAAAGTTTGTAGCATCATGAAGAATAGATTGCTCATTATCTGTCCATGACTGGAGAACTGCTTTCTCTGATAAAACCTTTATATCTCCTGGTAAAGGGGAAGAAGTGGTATGACAGAGAGTTTTGCCATTTGGTGAGACAGGGGAATGTCTTTTGTACGATGCAGTAAAATGCGTCAAGTGCAGTTTTGTGCTGTCTTTCCCAAGGTCTTCCATACATCCTACTGGGGCACAGGCTAAAAAGAAAGCAAAGGCTAAATGTCAGTTGTCATGGCATTTGTGATCATAAAATATGTAACACTTCATTAATTTGGTTGAATTTAGAAGTGAAAATAAAATTAACATTTTCAAGGTAGTGTGATCATTGGGGTACTGTGACTTGAAGACAGATAGATGACCAGTGTTCTGTGGTCTAATCCTGGATCAGCTATTTACTGACACTGTGACTTTAGGTAAGTCACTCAACTGCTCCAGGTGTCATTTCTCTTGTCTGCCAAATGGACATCATAATCCTGTCCTGCCTATATCTTAGAGCTAATCAAGGAGAAGAATTTCATATTTTAAAAAGTTGGAAACCAATGAAGTTAAAATACAAGAAAAGAGATCCTGTTCTTGGCTCTTAATGTGGCTAGAGAAGGCTTGCAGACTGTTTATGTGTCAGGGGAGACTAAGAAAGCTGTTCTTAAGTTTTAGTAATTTTTTTATTCAATATAATATTCCTTTGCTTATTCAAATTTTTTTTCACAGATGGTCCAAAAGTAAATTTTTTCAGAAAGAATTGTATTGTGAATTGGTGAGACCCAAATGAAGTTTTACTATACATTAAAAGGCTTTTATGGATAGAACAGTTTAAAAAACTTTTTTTAATGGTAAATGTAATGGTTTGTTTAATGTAATGTAAAACAATGTAAATATTTACGCAAAAAAATTCTGCTATGGTCACAATATAGGTCATGTAAAACAAAAAAAGCAACAAAAATGTGTTTAGTACACATGCAATGGCACAGAAAACAGACTGCTCTAAAGCTATTATTTAGCCACAACCAACACAATCGTAGTGTGAGCTTCTCCTCCCAATTCAACCTACCAAGGCAAAAAAGAAAAATTTATCCTAAGCCCAAGAAGGATGCCAAGTACAACTAAGGCTTGACTCTCTGTAGTTTTAGAAGAAAGGAACTGAGCCACATTATAAAATAAGCTCATTGCCTTTTTTCTTGGAAGGAGGGATGAGTTGGGGAGAACTGGAAGTTACAATGCTTAGCTTCTGGACAAGGATGGTATGCAGGTCAGAAAAAAAAGTGATCTAATCTCATCTTTGTCTACTCAAAGCATTGAGTTCTGTGGTGAGGAGTGATGGCCTTGAGCCTGCCACTGTCGTAGGGAATGTGCTAGAAAACTTATGGCTCAAAGGACCAAAAGATTTATCCTTCGCCAGGTCATAAGGGACACAAGAATGAGCCATTTCCAAATATGGAAAGAGCATTTCTCCTTTATTATTCGTTGGAAGTTATATTTATTATTAACCAAGAGCCACATG